AGTCCAAATTTTGGCTTATGCGCATGCCCGGCATTGAAATTTTGCTCACTTTTGTACCTAATCCTCCAAAAATCTCTCCTTTTAGTAAAAAAAAGCTTTCTTAACGAAACTTAGGCTTATTTAGCGTCATGGCAGCTAAAAAACCTGACTAAACGGTTAAAAACGGTATTTTTGGCGAAAGTTTGCTATTCAAAGGGTTAAGCATCCGTGAATGGTCTCAAACTTTCTAATCCTACTAATAAGACTAACAAGGTTATGTGAAGGGGTTCTGCATAGGGATGTATGTTCACTATAGGTGAAAAACCAATTCCAGCAGGTGACTTGTTATCACGGGAGTCTGCCAAAAACGAAGAGGATCACGACCATTTCTTCCTGTGATTGTCAATTGACATTCTCAAACTGTGAATAATTCATCAAGTCAGAACAGAGAAATTCACAACCGTGAAGGAGGTTTGGATACCCGGTCTTAATTAGCATAGAATTTGACGATTTTATTTCTCCGTTTACTCCTTAGTTTTTTTGTTTCGAATGAGAAAATATATCAAACACTCGACACAGTGTTTCATCGGCTATCCAAACACCTCGAATTTCGTCAAAAACACTCCGCTGCGCGTCGTATTTTCAACTCTCTTCTCGGTATTTGGATATCCCGATGAAACACTGCCTCTCGTGTCTGATATGTTACATGAAAAGCGCTAAGGTGACGAAACCACACCGAACTGGCCAAACCATTGTGTGGAAACTGGAGAGAAATACTGGAAATGTGTGACAGTGATTCTAGTCACGTCCTTTTTAATTCAACGCAAAGGTTGAATTTCTTTAAGAGGATATCGTTGTATATTGTAAGCATGTGGTTTTGTAAGTTAATGTACAGGCTCTCTGGTTTGTAACTTCTAAAAGAGCAATGAAATATACGCATCAGCCTCAAAGCTATTGTGTTTGTAAGTTTCTTCAGTTAGCAGCAATACTTAACAATTATTCGTCGAAGGTGATCGTGAAGGACAACTTGGGAATATTCCCCCAAAACAACGCGTTTATGGACTGAGACGCACCTGAGGACCGTAAACACGCAAATTAAGATCGAGGCCATCTTGATCGAGCAAGGTTGTATGATCAATGATTTATAATATGTCATTCGGGACACCGTTTCCTTGCGGGGTATGGCGGGCAATCCCAAGCGGAAGAGAAAGTCCCTTCTCCCGCACTCGAGTAGCCAATCATAGCGCGGGTTTTAATCCTTCTTAAGCGCTCGTGATACTACCATCTGAGCTGAAAACCTCACAGACCTACTCGACCCCAAAGCCTTCTGTTTCTTTTGGTAACTATTAGCCGACAAAAATCATCTTAAAATGAGAAGCTTTGGAACGAGATTGCATTACCTATAGAAAAGGTCGAAAAGAGACCTGCGAAAGAAGCGATCAATGTCAAACATCAGTTCGGCTTATTTTGAGGCAGACGTGCTCAAAACGGGAAATTGAAAAGTTCCGGGAAGAAAATCAGACAGGGACAGGGCCTAAGAGAAGACATCCACCGAAATTTTGTCCAAGAAGCAATCTCGTACCAGAAAAGTTTGTTTTACACCTAATCATTTCATAATGAGTTAAAATAGCTTCAAAATGAAAGTGCACTGCATGTTAGGGCCTCGATTATGCAAACCATTATTAGCCTTTTCCAGGCGTTCAGTTAGTTGGGGCGCGACGCGAAAAACAGCGCGCGAAAAAAAAAGCGCTTCCTCTCGCCCCGCTTTTTTTTGATTTTTTTTTTTTCGCGCGCTGTTTTTCGCGCTGCTCACCAACTAACTGAACGCCTGGAAGAGGCTAGCAAACCATTTGTAGTCAGGACATTCACTGCTATTAATTAAAGAACATAACCAATAACCACCGCCACCCCGCGCCTATTGGTCTCAGAACTTGATCAAGCTAACTATGTAACGCCAGCGTTCAGTTCCAAAAGAAAATACGAAAAATTAGCCGCAGTCATTCGCGTTCTCCAAAATACGCAGAACTTAGTCATCTCACGATGTTGCTTTTTAGAGGACGACAAAGAAATGTACAAAGAAATGTACAAAGAAAGATATATAACGTACTTGCACAGCTATTGTTTTACTCATTAAACCTTTTGTTTGGTGCAGTTTTCTTGTTGCCGTTGCCGTAGTGGTTTGCTAAGCTCTCATGACATGTCATTTGTTACCTGTTGACATCTTTCAGGGTGAGTGCGTAGGTCATATATAAAAATATCTTTTCCAAACTTTGTTCCATCGCTAAATTTTTTTAACCACGCTCTGTTTTTGTAGTGGTGAGCAAGTTAAGATTACAAGCGATCTGTTAATAACTTGGGAAACGTAAAACATCTTTTGAAGTGATCAGATCAACCCAATTACCAAGTATTATCAAATTAATTGAAATATGAGCAATGTTCTCTCTTCATAGTTAGTTATTTCTGGCATTTATAACAGACACTAGGCGAGGTCCAAAAGTTCATTCGAAAGCCAATCGTTTCTCGCTTGCATTGTTTAGATTAATTAATGGTTTACTGAATTAGGACATTGCTTGCTTGTATCTTGTTCTTATCACCTATTTATACACTGTTCTAAGGTCAAGATTTGTCTTATTTCCCTTGAGATTAACACCAGTCTCTTTTGATTTTTCACGCGCGTTTCGAGCATGAGGTTTACAACCAAGGTGTCTTCGCAAGAAACTGGAGTCTCTAAGTCTGGCTCGTCCGATGAGAAGTTTATATTCACGGTTAAGAAGTCGGAGGTGACAAATGGCGCGAGTGCTGCTCGCTACGAGAGCGAAGGCGCTAGCGGAGGGACACGAACGCTTCAAAAATCAAGCACGCTCAACGTAAATCGCGAACAAATCGAAGATTTCGCAAGCGTCCGCGACAGAATCTTTCCTGTCATCAAGGCACGTTCTTGGGTCGACGCCACGAAGGATCTGCTCACGAAAATTGACCCTAAAAGCAAAGCGGGTGTCTTATTCACGCCTCTAAAGAGCATTCCTGGAGCTGGCATCGGGTACACGCTAGCAATCATGGGCGACCACAGCCATTCCCTCAACTACATTCTGACAAGTCATTTGGACGTTTGGAGTACATCTGAGAGCTCTCTGCAAGAGGTCGCCATCAAAAATTTGGAGAAGAAGTTGGACGGTTTAGGAGAAAATCTTTGGTCGCAGAGCAGGACTGGCATTCACTACATCGACAGTCTGGGCTCGCTGTCAGCATCTGTTGTCTTACTGCCGCGTTTTATCGCACGCTTAGACGTAGAAAGCGGAGACGCCGTGGTCGTCGTCCCCTCCAGTGATCTCTGCATGGTGGTAGGTTCTAAAATGGAAACACGACTTTGCATTGTCGGCGAGATGTCTCTGCGTTACTCGTCCGATCCGCACCACTTGAACACAAACCTTCGGCTCAACAAGTCGAGAATGGTGATCTCAAAGTACTCGCCGAAATCTTTTGCTGGTGAATTTCCCGTTCCTTCGACGCTGGAAGAAGTAGCGGGACTGAAACTGAGGGTACAACCCATTAAAAGGAAGAAATAACTCGTCATTTCTCTACACCGAACTTCAAAATTGTCATAGATTTTAGTATATTTTATGATGAACATTTTTGAAAGAACAAAGGCCAAACAAAGAGCATTGTTGAAGTTTGGTGCTCCTATTGTCACGTATTCTGTTATAAACGTTTTTAGTTTTCAAAGAAAATACGCACAAGTTAAGTTATTAGTTGACAAAATCAAAAATACGCGTTTTCTATATAGCACTAGTTCAAAACTTTTATTGGAAAATAACCCTTTAGGGTCCCTTTAGCAAACAGTACTTCAAGCGTGACAAAGTAAAGATCTCAAATTTTTAAATTAATATACCTTGATCATGTTGATCGGTTTGTAAATAGTTGCGGCAACATGCTGGGTCAAAAGAGGTTTACAAAGAATAAATATTGCCCCACGGATCGACTCTGTCTTTTAAGTTCGTTTGATCTTCCGTCTGAGGGCAAAATATAGAACACTACAGATGGTTACTTTAAGTATTGTGAGGAAACCCAATAAAATTATTAATCCGAACGTACGAGTTCTTGAATATTAAAAGAAAATTACTGTGTGGGGTGCTACGCCGGGGGGAGGAAGGGGGGGTACTTGGGTTTGATTTGGGTGGGTATGTGCCGCCCGGGTTTCTAAATTTAGAACCCTTTTGCATTTGCATTCAAAATGATGTCCCGTTGTAGAAAAAGGTCAATTTTTAAGACCCCGTTCTCTAGATTTAGTAAATTTCAATAGCCCGTTCGTTGTTTTGAAAGTTATTTATTTTTGGTTGACCTATATATCTAGATACGACGATGCTGCCTCTGCACAAATCAGCAACCTGATTGCTTCAATTTCAAACGGAAGATAAAGCCGTGATTAGCAATTTCTTTATTTACAATCTTATTAAATTGTCTTGGAAACTTTTACTGAAACGTAAAATTCTCTATGAATAATTTCAAATGGCTGCTGATAATTTGACGAGCTTTCGTACGTTCGAAATATTTTACCCCGTTCTAGGAAACGTCTCCATTCTAGATCAGGAGTCCCAAAATCACGACCCCGTTGGGCGGCACCTACCCGTATAGGTATTGTGGGAGTATCCTCCCCCGGGTCCGGGGTGCTACTGTAGTCTCAACAAGCGAGTGAAGGATGAAATCAATGCAGTTTTCACATCTTTCGAGATAACGGGCAGCGTGAGCCCAGTCGCCTATTGTTTCAACTCGATTAAAATTCCTCCCTCGTTATAGAATCAAAAAGTCTGGAAGGGCGTCGAGAATCTAAATAGACACAGGAGAACTCTGTTCTTGGTAACTATCAGATTTGCAATACAGAATAGGTTATTAATCAAACGTGTAGTCCAGAGGGCTGGATATTTGTAGTCTCTTTTTATTGGTGTGTTTTAGTACGGAGACGCAGTCGACGTTCATTAACATTTTCCGGCATAAAAGAACGGGTAATCCCGAGGGGGCAAGATAGCGCCATCTTGCCCGCTTGGATGGGCGCCAGTCACAGTTTGGTTCACCTTGCCTGGTCGCGGGC